GTTGTTTTTCTTGCAATTATTCATACGAACAATGAAGTTCGTATATTAAGATGTTATATATCTTTCAAGTTCAGCAACTTGGAACAAAAACCTCTTCGACCTTCCAACTTTATCTTTACCAACAAAAACCAAACCAAAAGGCTTCAAATATATTTCCCCATTAGCATATTTCTTTAATTCTTGTTGAGACTTGGATGGCTCCATGGGTACTTTAACTTCATGCCCTTTCACTGTTGCTAGCTCCACATCAGTAAGTGCTAAACACTCGTAATAATTCTCCAAGAAAATCTTGATGTGAGCCACACCCAATCAAAAAACACCAGGTTCTGTTTCTCGAAGATATGAAGAATTTTTATCTTTTAGGAGAAGAGCCATTTGAATAAGGTCATACAGATTCATGAGAGGAAAATCTGCGACTGTGAAATCACAATTCTAACCATTAGCCCTAGCAACAATGAACTTCACATTTTGCATCATGTCTTCGAATAATACATTCATATTGATGCTTATAACCTTCTTGATTTTTACCAAAGACCAGATTTCTTCAGGAGCCTTCGTAAGAACTGCATGAAACGAAGCTTCATGTAGTTATAGTCATCTTCGCTTTTGAATTTATCAGACACTTTGAATTGAGACATGAGGAACATCATCTCCTTAATTGGAAAATCCAGCTGGCTCATGTCTGCATTCGAAACCATGTAACTCTATTTCGGTTTCTTCTCAAATGCATACATGTGGTTGTAAGCCACTTTCGCTCCTATCATTTCATAGTTATAAAGTTTGGAAGGATTTCCTTTGTTTAAACTTGGAGGATCACTCACCCATTGCCTCATTGTGCTCTGAACTACCCTTAGCTTTTCCATATCTGCTTCGGCTTCTGCTTTCTTCTCTTCTTCTGATTTTTCAACAACAGTTGTCTTGCCTTTGTCTGTTGATTTATTTGTAGCATCCTTTGTTTTCGAAGCTTCATCTTGGCCAATAGATCCAATAACAATCCCCTTCAAAATTGACTTTGTGATTGGCATGGACGTTACAACAGTTGAAGTAACTTGTCCAGCACTCAAAAATGTAAGCTTAGTCAATCGAATTTTCGAAGGATAAACTTTACCCACAACCTTAGCTTCTCTTTGCGAAGCATCAATTCCAGCCTTCGCATGAGATCCTTCTCCAACCCTCTTTTTCCCCATTGCACCCCTGTTCAACCAAGCGGGCACTAGTTGGAAGAAATTCGAAATAGTTGATAGAGGAGATAGTTGTTTATGAATAATAGCTTCGAACTGGGTAAACTTCTGTGAGGGGAACTCAAGAGTAATTATCGAAGATGTAGCATGCTTGAGAATAGACTCCTACTAATCTTTGAGCATCGAAATAACCATGCCAAACTGTTGATTGTCATTTGTATAAAGTTGAGTAATTCTAGGACTCAAGCTTTCATACAACGTAACATACTTCGTGATAGCATCACAAATGATATCGACTTTCTTATGCAGAGTGGCATAATCATTCTGAACAACAGCAACTTCATGAACCATGTCTTCACGAAGCTCTCGAAGATTCAAATTTACATCTTCTCTCACCTTCTTCACATCCATTACGAACAGAGTATGTCGTTCTTTTTGAACATTTGTTAGCTCTTTAACATCTCCTACATATTTTGAATTGAAGAAATTTGTCCTCAACTTTGTTGTCTCATCAGTATGATCTATCTTCTCCAATAGGTTGATCTCCGAGTCTTTAATCATACCGGATATCTTACTCACCATTCGTGCCTCACAAGCCTTCATCAGGCCATCAATTTCGAAAGTGGACACTGAGCTTCCTCCTCCCATGTCTGCTTGAGACTGAATAATTGAATTCAGCTTTTTATTCAATATTTTGAATTGTTTCATAGACATGAGCATATGATTAGGGAAATCCTCCTCATCTTCATGAAAAGCCAAATCGTCAAAAGTACCGCCAAAGCCTCCTTCATCATTTTTAGATTCATCATTCGGTTTTGGTGGATCAGTGGATTGAGATGAAAAATGGATGAAAAAGGTTGGTCGATGATGTTTTGGAAGGTTGGTGAATAAGTGGTGGAAGTAGTAGGGATAATGAATAGAGGTAAAGAAACAAAGGTACTTGTAATGGGTTTGAAAGAAACAATAACTGAAGTACCTTGTGTAGATTGAGCAGTTTCCTTTTATATATCTTCTTCACCCATGATGAGATTTACATCCATATCACATATGTTTGTAGTGATGCCTGAAGTTCGTACCTCCTCATGAAATGATTTGGCAGACGAAACTTCGGGTGGTATGACAACAGTCTTCTCAGGAGAAGTAGGCTCTATAATAGGTTCGAGTTCAGGTGTTTCAGGAACTTGTTCTTCTTCGAAATATTCCATTGGAATTACTAACTGCCTCTTCTTTGTCTTCTTCTTTTTCTTCGAAAGCTTCTTGGCCATATCCTCAGCCCTTCGTTTCTTTGAGTGAGGAGAAACTGGAGCTAGGACTTCGCGCATAACTACTCCTTGATGAGTAATATAAGGCTTGTGAACCACATTCGAAGTAGGAGAACCACCATACCTCAGTTGTAATCTGCGAAGAACTCCAGACTTCGAAGGAATGGTAACTAAAGCTGGTTCCGTAACAATAGGTTCAACAAAGGTTGTCACAGCTTTTGAAACTATCTTATTAGGCTTCGTCTTTGGAGACTTTGATGTCTTCGTTTCTTTAACTATTGACTTGGGAATGATGATCTCAGGCTTCTTTGTAGTCCTAGACTTCTTCGAAAGACCCGCACCTGCTTTCGGTAACAACTTCCCAGTTTCAACTTTTGGATCAATTGTTGTCATATAGGCAATAAGTACATCATTTGTTGGATTGACTTTCTTCAACATGGCATCTGGGATTCATGCTACATGTGAAAAACCGTCTTGATCATCATTTACTTCTTTTGGAAAATTATACTTCAAAAAATATGTTGTTTCCACCTCAGCATCCACCAGAATGCCCTCTTTATCATAAAAATACATGAGGATAAGACTCCAGTATCGTGCACATGAATTACCTTGCACATCATTCATATTATCTATACTCTTTTGAAATTCGTTCCATAACTGTGTAGAGTAGTCCACCGGTATATCATAATAGAGGCATGCAACCATTGCATAGACTTCCATCCTTCCTTTATCAAGCCCAACTGTTCGACCTGTTAAGCATCGTAGAAAGATTCCAAACAAGAAATTCCAAATCGTCGGAAGACCAGATTTTTTAAAATCACTAATCTTGGTGAGTGGGGGTTGATGGCCCATCTCATTGAACATGTAGTTTACTTGATCAGTCGAAAGATTAGTAAACGGTTGAGGGTTTGGAATATCCAAAATTTGACAAAACAGCTTCTTTGTCAATCGTACCTTCTTATCATTCACCAAGTTAAAGGTGATGACATCTAGGGCTTTAGAGTATGTTGCAGTAGAACCTGCTTGTGAAAGCCAGGATAGAGGTACTGCAAAAGAATTGAACTTAGCTATCGAAAGAACACAGCTCTTCAAAGCAACCACCAACATCTTCAATCCTTCAGGGTAAAGAGATTCATCTGCTTTTACTTGATAGTTTGTCCCCTAAATCTTCATTATTGGTAAAGACGTAAAATCTTTTGTGGTGTAAGATGGTGCATCAACATTAGTTTGATCAGCCATGACGAGGGTTGTGAAATAGTACGAAGACAATTGAATTTTTTTCAGAGAGAATTTGGGGTTTTTTCTTCTGAAAGCGTAAACTGATAACAAACCCTTGATTTACTTTTTATAGGTTACCCTGATGTTTGAATTTGAAGTGGGATGTGCATTTAATGAAATCCGACGTGGCACCTTGAAACTCGTACCCCTATGCCGATAAAGTAGTCACGCATGAAAAAGTAACTGTCACTTCTCCTTAAAAACCGGAAATGTCACTTCTCGCAGACTGTTTATTTCCCCCAATGTAAAATGAACAGTCAGCAACCTTCGGATGGAGGTTAGACTCTTTCACTTTTGGGATTGAAAGCGAAGTCATATGCCAGACTTTCGAAATCATCAGCCTGAGTTGGTAGTAATCAGAACCTCAAGGATTTAGTGAGTGCAGTGTGCCAAAGAAAAAGATAAGAAGAAAATAAAAATAAACTTTGGATTTATGATGTCAAAACTATTTTGACATGAAAGCAGTTAAACTCCAGGCAAAAGTTTCTTCGTTAATTATCAAGAGAGATAATCAACTGCTAGTGAGGTTTCCCATCAATTAATTACAATCGAAAACTTATTGAGAAATTTCAAAAGCTTCTTTTTCAAGACTTCATGGGTAGGTACATGACTTCGTTACATATCATCCAAAACATAAGGTGAGAAATTGTAACATAAATCATTTGTTTGACCAGTGTATTCAATGACAAGTATGCTTTGAATTAAATTTGAAAGTTACTTAGAAATCAAATGAAACTCACACAGAAATCATATACACAAAAAAAAATTGTGCTGGATCCTATTGTGTGACAAAGATCGTGGGTTTCGATAATTTGATCAAGCTCACTCATGCGAAATGAATATGATTTGGAGTTTTGAATCTAGGTACAGAAACAAAAATTTCATTAAAACTGGAACAAAGTTCCCCGTGTCAATTCCTTAAAATTTTTGAGAATTGGGTTTCACTTTCATCACGGTTTCATGATGTCAGATCATTAACACAAATGTTTATATGTCTAAGTATTGATGGGTTTGATCAAAGACCTCTTGGACATATGCCATTGTGTGTGATCGTGAAAAAATGTTTAGATGAAAAAGATTGGTTTAAGAATTCATGTGTACCTCTGTTATTATGGACAAAATAGTAAACTCTTAACTCATGTGAAAAGAGTCAGGTAGCTCATGTGACTAATGTGAATATAAGCCAGACTTGGGAAGAAATTTTCGTATGAAATATTTCATTAAGGCTTTCGTTAAACACACATAGAGTCATTCGAAGCTTTGGTCAACATGCTGGAACATGCCTCTAGGGACACCTTAACTAGTTCAAGAGTTTCGAAAGAATTACCTGACCTTAGACCTGCAAGCATTAACCATTTAGAATCATCTTTGTTACCTGAAACAAAACATGAAGACAAAACAATACAAACCAAAATATTTTTGTGATTTTTGATGTTTCAAAAGTAAGAGAGAAAACAAATAAAAAACTTTTTGTTGTTTTTGTGTTTTTCGAAAAGAAATGACAAAACAAATGAAATAAAAATCTTTTTGTTGTTTTTGAATTTTTCGAAAATAAAAGACAAAACAAACGAAAAAGCTTTTCGTTGTTTTTGAATTTTGTTTTTTAAAAATACAAATTACTTAACGAAAATATTTGAAATGTACATGATACACGAATTTTCCAGTTTCAATTTACGTAGATGAAAGGTAACGAAGCATTGACTATGAATAGTAACCGTTGAATTTGACAGCTACCACCCGGTATCGATATTCTTTCAAAAATGAACCCCCTTCGATCCTTCCAAGTCCACCTAAAATTCTCACAAATGATTTTTCATCTAATGGTTTTGTGAAAATTTCACCAAATTGATCAGTGATTTTCACGAAATGCACTTCAATATTACCATCTTCTACATGATCTTTTATGAAATGGTAACGAAGAGCAATATGCCTAGTATTCGAATGCTGCACAGGATTATGAAAAATACGTATTGCATTGAGAATCACTATACAAAGGAATTCTTTTCATGTTTATTGCATAATCACGCAATTGACTTTGAATCCAAATTATTTGTGATGTGCAAGCAGCAGCAGCTACATATTCTTCTTCAGCAATCGAAATTGATACACATGTTTTCTTTTTCGATTGTCAGCTCACCAATTTTCCATCAAGTAATTGACATCCTCCACGTGTGCTTTTGCGATCAAGATTGCAACCTCCCAAGTCAGCATCCGAGAAAGCTTAAATAACGAAAGCAGATTTCGAAGGATACCACAATCCTAACGAAATTGAGCCTTTGAGATAACGCAAAAATATTCTTATATGCATTAAGATGTGGCTCTCGTGGATTTGACTGGTACCTAGCACAATTACACAAAAAAAAACATGATATTAGGTCTACTTTTAGTGAGATAAATTAATGAACCTATCATGCTTCGATAAAGAGTTAAGTCAAGTGGTGGTTTGTCTAACGAAGGTGTCAGCCTTGTTCCTATTGCTACCGGTACTCGCAATTTTGTGCTATTTGTTAATCTAAACTTTTCAAGATAATTCTTCGTATACCGGTCTTGGTTGATAAAAATTCCTTCTCTGCTTTGATGAATATTTAGACCAAGAAAACTATTAATTTTTCCCATCATGCTCATTTCAAATTTGCTTTTCATCAGATTTTCAAATTCATTAGATAAAGCAGGGTCAGCAGAGCCAAAAATAATATCATCAAGATAAATTTGAACAAGCATAAGATGATTCCCAACTTTCTTTTGAAATAATGTGGGGTCAACTGATCCTTGTTTAAATTTTGATTGTTTTAAGAAAGAGGTAAGAGTTGCATACCAGGCTCTTGGTGCTTGTTTTAACCCATAAACTGCCTTATCTAAAATATAACAATAATCAGGATGATCTTTATTGACAAAACCTGGGTGTTGTTCCACATATACTATTTCTTCGAGTTCTCTATTCAAAAATGCACACTTCACATCCATTTGATATACATCGAAATCTTTGTGAGCTGCATAAGCCAGAAATATATAAACAACCTCGAGTCTTGCGACAGGGGCAAAAGTTTCTTCATAGTCTATTCCCTCTTTTCGTGAGTAACCTTTTACAACAAGTCTGGCTTTGTTTTGAATAATATTTCCATCTTTGTCGGTTTTATTTTTAAAAATCCATTTTAACCCGACAATCAAAATATTTTCAGGTTTAGGAATTAATCTCCATACCTTATTTTGTTCAAACTCAGCCAATTCATATTACATTGCAGCCACCCAATCTGAGTGTTTCATTGCATCTTTAATTATCTTTGGTTCAATTTTCGAAATGAAAACATTGAACACGCAAAATTCTTGATGAGTATTTAATACCCCATTCTTTGCACGAAGTTGTGCTCTCGTTAAAACTCCATCTTGTGGATTCCCACGTACTTGTTCTTTCGGATGATCTTTTGTCCATTTTTCGAGTGGTGGATATGTTGGATCAAAATCTAAATGTGCATCTTCGTATAAATCTTCATTTTCTGATCCTACAACAGAAAGAGTATCATTAATTTCAAGAAATTCATCATTTAGATCAAGACTTATCGTATCACTGTTATTTTGATTCTGCTGCTCCCTCTCAACTAGTTGCTCCCTCTCAACATATTCATTCATTCTCCCATTTTCCCCCTTAAATGTGCTTCGAAGAGTCTGATTGATTATTATCATTCACACGAACCTCAACATCTATTGCCCTATTAGGAACAGTAAAAATTAAATCACAATAAAAATCGGATGAAGTTATAATTTCAGTTTCATCATTTGATTCATTAATAATTGGCTTTTGTTCGACTTTTCGTGTTCGTTTATTTAACACTTGGTATGCAACCGAATTGTGCAAATATCCCAAAAATACTCCTTCGTCAGCCTTAGCTTGAAACTTCGAAAGATTATTCTTGAGATTCATAATAAAGCACCTACAACCAAACACATGGAAAAATTGAACATTTGGTTTTCGATTATTGATTATGTCATATGGAGTGATACTGAAACGTCTATGAATAAACGAACGATTATGAGTAAAACACGTTGTGGATACAGTTTCAACCCAAAAATATTGAGGAAGATTCGCATATGTCAACATTGTTCTTGTTGCTTCGCAA